AAGTCATATAAATCAGTAACTTGCTTCGCGCCTGTTTATTTTAAAAGAGTACGCGTAATTAGATTTTCTTTATACCATTAGTTACTTCAGTAAGAAGTAGAATCGCAGAAATATCTTTACTAACTACGAAAGACTTTTTATATTTTAGACCTATTAAGAATAGAAAAAATATATATACGGTAAACTATTATTTTTCCTACTATCGTATTTCCTACTTCTAATATCTCGTTTAACAAGAATTCGCTAGTTCTATACGGATCGAAAACGAGACATGAAAGAAATGAAAGGGGATGTAAACACTCGGTGCACGCCAGGCGGGTGCAATAATTACGTAACATCACACGCGTAGATTCTCTCTATTACAATTTATAGTCCTCGCCGTAGCTCGTTCAAGGAGCTAATCGCCGTCCGGATCCTTCCGGTCGATAGTAGTTGCTCCGGCTCCCCGTCGTGTTTCCCGCCAACGCAGGTAGCTGTACCAGAGCCTCCTCGGCAGGTGATTACTTTTCACCGTTACCACGCCGTTTCTCTCGTAACCGGCGATGCATTTCCCCCGCGCGACGCGTGCAATTACTTATCCCACCGTTAGCGCCGTTAGGTACCGTCGTTGATTCGCGTTAGAGTCGCTCCAGAGAGACGGTCGGATCCAAGGCTCGGCGAAGGGCGGCGAAGGCGAAGGATCGACGGAAGGAAAGAGGGATGAAAGCTCGTAAACGCAAAGACGGGAGGAGAGAGAGAGAGAGAGAGAGAGCGGGGGTAGAGAGCCGAAGAGCCGAGAGCTGGGCTGAAGGACGAAAGGATGGGGCCCTGTCGAAAGAAATGGAGAAAGAACGATGGGGACGGCAAGGAGAGAGGCGGCGAGCCGAAGGGTAGGGGTAAACGAGGTATGGAGCAGCGGCTTCAAGGCTCGATTATGTGATATAAAGTTGCCAGAGTGAGGGGTGACGAAGGAGGTCGGAGAGGGATGCACCCTCGTTGATTGAGCCGCCACCTCCAACGTGCCGTGAACACATGTGCTGGTGGCAACGCTCTGATTGGAAGCCAGATGGGCTCTTCAGCCTCTTACCTCCAAGCACAAACTCTCACCTCCTCCTTCTCTTTCTCCTACCTCCTCCTCTTCCTCTTTCTCTCCGGTTTCCATCTTCAGTGTCTCCTTCTTCGATATCCGAAACTCACAGTCAACCCGCGCGCAAAGTACCGCAGTAGATGACTATCCCACGTCGGTTACCAGTGTTTCATCTGGATAGATGTTTGCGATTGCCACGGCTGAGTTTAGGACGAATCGGATTTATCCACAGGAAGAAAATACTGCTCGGAGTTCGTTCGCGCTGCGTCCTAGTACTGATGCGATGAATGTTGATATTCGTCTGGATTTATTTTCATTAGACACATTAGTGTTTGACTTTGTATTATTGGTTTTAGTCAATGGAATCCTCTCCGAATAGATTCGGAGCGTACAATCGTAGAAAGTTTTCTAAGCGTTCCCATCAAAAGTTTGCGACGGCTTTTGCGAAATGGTGCCATGCTTTATTCAGGCTTTCGCTTCCTTTTCTATTGTATACCGAAGTTGCGGCTATAACATACCAACACACAACAATACGTTCTAACGTGCCAAGAGCTATTCAAAAAATCATTGAGAGAAGCCTTACCGCTTTGCGTCAACGGTGTCGTTTAAAGTTCGCAATATCACTTGGCCATTCTCACCTGATACGTCGCGATAGAATGCATATTAACGAATCGAGTCGCGGAAAACTTTCGAAAGTTCGAAAAGTGCGAAGTTTGTTTTTTTGAATACTTAAAAATATTTATAAGCGGATAGACAGTTGCGGATTTTTATCTAAATGCTTTTGAAAACATTTTATAAATATTTAATACTCCGTAACACGTAAAATATGAAGCACAAAAACAATCGAAGAGAATCCATGGCATTGACAATTTTGACAGTGATAAGCGAAAATAAGAGATTTCCTAATTGAGATCAACAAAGACTTGTTCGCAGTCGTTTTCGTACGATAATTGCTCGAGTTTATTTAACTTCGTAGCTTGAGGACATCATTTGCGCACGACGTGCACAGCCTATTATGTGACGAACGTCTATTATTCCATGTCTGGAAGAAATCCTAGTTACAGCGAGTCAAGCTGGTCGTATTCTTCAAATCAGCGGGTGGCACCGCATTCTGTCTAATGCAGTGACATCATTACGGGGCACGGTTATATTTCTCGTAACAAAAACTCGCCACAATTATATCGTCGCGACAGACGTAGTTGCAATCGCAACTCTCGCGCAATAGCGCTCTATTAACATTAATAATTGATTCGTAACTTAGATACAAGATTCTCTCTCTCGACTTGAGCTTGTTATCCTTTATCGATCTCCAATCCGAAAGTTGGCACTGAGCATGATGAAAGAAAACGCGACGTTTCTTGCGTGCATCGTGGCGCGGTTTACGAGTGGACATAAGCGGGCTTGTTAGGACGAGTGGGCGGATGGCATGAAGATTTTCACCGAGGGCTTGTAGTCGGGACACAAGGGACAGTTCACCGGCTGTAGCCGCCGGCGGTCCCCAGAGGTGGCGACCCTGTTGCAGGCCGAACCTAGCGAACCTGCGGTCGCTGGCTTGTTAGATCCAGTTTGGGGTCGCGGGGCATCGGGGCTGAAGAGGGACAGGGGAAATTGGGAGGAGGCTGGGGTGGTGGGCGCTACTCTTCAGTAGACCGCAATCGGGTATGCAATTTACGTGGTGTCCGACCTCTGCGATCCGAGCCAGCGTCCCTCCCTCGTCTTCTCGAATCGGTGCTTTCCAACCCGCTTCCACCGCCTCCCTGCCCCAACCCCCGTCCCTTCCGTCCCACGCATTTCGAGGATTCGCACTCATGGGCCAAAACGAAGGGGTTGGGTGCGATGCTGCCGGCTCTCTGCATTCGATACGCAACAGTGAAAACGTCGCACACGGATGGTAAATCCTGACTATAGTGCTAGCTGAAGAGAGAGAGAGAGAGAGAGAGAGAGAGAGAGAGAGAGAGAGAGAGAGGGAGGGGGGGAGGAAGGGAGACAGACTAGGGTTGAATGAAGCGGAAGAACGAAAAGCTGTAGCTGTCGCGAGCAGAAGTTTCTACATTGCTTAGGTGGAAGTTGGTTTCTTTTCTCGTCGTAGAAGGTAGCCATGATTTTACCTGGCCGGGGTCTCTATAGCCGATAACGCGCAGGAAATTGGTAACAGAACGACTGCTTGAACACGTGAACTAACAATCTGTCGATGTCAAAAAATGTTTCCGCCTCCACTTCCCTTCCTCAAAGATTCTGCGCGTAACGTCAGACGAAAGGAAACCGCTACGCACAACATTCGCAATAAATAAATGTTCGATTTCTCTCCAAAACGATCTTTTGACGATGTCATTTATTTTCGCGAAGGCAAGTAAAAATAGTATAGTAAATTCGTTGTACGTAAAGAGATCGTTTTATCCATTTTAAGGCTTAATGTAATTATTGCAAATATCGAGCAGTTACATGCTTTACATTACTCTATTCGTTTAAGCAAACCCACGTGCTAAAATCTCAGGCCGTTCGACGCGTACCAATGCAAATGTCAGGTCGAACGGCATTATCCGGCGTAACGTGCATGTTAATCAGACGAGGCTACGTCGGGCACCAGCACCGGTGGCATAATTCGCTCAATTTACAAGCATTATCGCGCTCGTTGCATTTAATCGCTGAAAATTAGGTTACGCCACCGAGCTGACGTGACCAGCGCTGTCGGCTTTTGCCGTATTAAAACTTTTTTTCACGCTTTTAAGCACCGAGCTTGTAAAAAAAAATGAAAAAAAAAATAAAATCGCGCTGATTTAAAAAGCGTTACAAAAGCGTTTTTAGTCAGACTATAACGATACTAGCAATATCACGACGCGACGTGCTTCTGTTATAATACAGATGATGAAAGTGAAGATCCTGTGCCCGACACGCGTCTATATATTTATCTGAAATATTATTACACAAATAGAGTAATACGCAATGTAAAATACATAGGTAATCCGAGTAGTCTTCTGTTAACATTTCCAAGCGTCGTTATGATCGTCGGCAACACTCAAGCAGACAGGCATCTACTTTCACCTCTATGAAATTTATGTATGGAAATATTCGTATGTGCATAACGCGACGTGGAATATCGTATTCAGCAGCTGGAGGCGCAGCCAGCCCCCTGTGGCGACATTTCGTGGGAAAATAAATTTCTAGCCTAGCGAAACCGCCAACGGAGTAGAGGTGCGCGTTCGAGCGACGTTTTTTTTTCCTTGCCGCTTTTCCGGCATATCTTGTACCGATTTTCGTCACATTTCGAGGATGTCATCGTCGCAAATCCAGCATTTTTGATGAAGAACCCGCGGGCACGTTAAAGAAAAGCGACGAAGTTATTTTTACATTTGTGTATGCTCCATAAATATCAGTCGAAATGACAATTTTTTTTTTAGTTAGCAATATGTATATACATATATTATATACATTGTTAAAAATAAAATGTTAATTTTATTTCAAAACGTATAGTGGACTTTTTGAGACGTGCAAAAATGTGAAAATTAACATTTTATTTTTAATAGTGTATATACGAAGTAATCATGATGTTTTTAGTTTTGTGTGATTTTTTTTTATGTTGACAACACATCAATAGGCATTAGAAAAGTATTCACAGAATCGAATTTGTGTCGTTAAATTTGAACACTCGTATTAACCACGTTATAATATACATCTTAATATTCACACACATCACGATTAAATTTTTATAAATATATTTCTAGAAAAATTTTCCAATTTTTCTGCCATTTTATGAGTACCATACCGAATATTTTTAATTAGTTTTGTAACGAAAAGTTAAAATAATTATATTTATCCGTACTTAGGCGTTGATATATCTTTATTGCTATTCAATGGATTTGCTTACGTGGGCAATTTAGATACTATTCTAAGTTTATCTTATTGAGTGCAAATACTGTAGTTACATAATTTTTCCTGAAATCTTAACATTTTGTCACAGTTTCCATCCAGAGTAGTTTTCGCATTTGTTATCCTGTCATTCAAAGTTGTATTGACTTGAGTCCGCGATATCGCGTCTTTTTCTTGAAGAACTTGGTGTGGTCGAGGTAGTGGTCGATGTCGATGTCGATGTCGATGTCGATGTCGATGTCGATGTTCTACGGCATCCAGGGTGTCTATGCCTCCCATATCGTCCCCAAAATTGGGATTCCTTCACACAGAATAGAAAACGTTATTTTTCAGAAATTTATCGATAAACGATATTTGAATTACGATGTAAGACTTACGGATTCTTGGAACATGGCACACACCACGATCGTCAAGATCAAGAACACCACTGATAGTCTCATATTGCAATTTTACTACTGCTAATGCGCCAACTTACACTGTGAATGCTTGCGTCGTAGTGACGATATTTATACTGCGTCGCTGAATAACAATTTATTTGATAAACATTGACAGTGAATAATGGTACACGTCTGTTTTGCCATTTGTCGTAGCTCACTGTTAAGTATATTTCATATATAATATAACAAGAATAATGACAAAGTATCAATATGTTCCGCAGTCTTTTAGGTACATGTCGCTGATATGAAATAATTGTCACATGCATGCATGCATGTATGCATGCGGAAACGTCGTTTGACAAGTAAATTCGAATAAATTACGGCATTACAGGAAAAAAACATGATTTATAAAACTCTTAAAAAAGACGGACAAAGAATAATTATTTGTTAGGTCATATTTAAAAATTTCGGTTTTTCTTTTAATATATAAAAGTAAATTATTATTGGCGATTATTGTAGAATACGACTGAAGTTTGGACATAAATTAAATAAAAAATATTATATACGTATATATATATATATATATAAAGACTTAAAACTATTATAAGTATATATAGAAAAAAATATATAGTATTATAGTATTTACATTTAATTTAATGCGACTTGTGAATACAAATCTTATGAATACAAAAATGCTTTCTGTCCTCTATCACGTAACTGTAAAAAAAAACTGGAATTACTTTCACTGTTATTAGATAGGAGTATTAACGAAGCATCGCGCTCTTTTTCCGCCTGTAATCGGATAATACGTCGACAATGACTATCACGGGACGTATTACGGAAGGGAATACAAGGCGGATCCAAGCCCTACATGCTTCCAGAGAGGTTATACGGTAATACAACCTCCTCTCTCTCTGGCACCCTCGTCAACTCACACCACTCACAATATACCCTAACAATCGAAGCCCGTCGCTCGTTCGGTGTTTAATCCCCTCTTCCTCCCTGTTGTCGGCCGATTTGATAACGCCTGGCAGCACCTTATACGAAAGAGGACGACGAGAAAGAGGACGATGAGAAAGAGGAAGAGACGGAAAGAAAAGGGTTCGCACTTAGAACAAGGTTCGTGTAAAGACGTCTTTTGATTTATATCATCGCGTCTTCCGAATGACGACGAGCATCAATCATCTAAATCGAGCTATCGATGAGAGACATATGAACTATCGAGAGCAGCCACGTGTGCGAATTCTCCAATCTGATAGGTCAGATGAATGTGCAGAAGTAGAGATTTTTTAACGTTTTTTCGATTATTACCGGATTTTTCTATTTAATTTTACAACTTTGCATTGTCATCTTGAATGAAATGTCTTTCAGAAAAACTAAAGATTTTTATTATATAAAAATAGAAGAGGTCACTAAATTATAATTGAAGTACCGCATTTATATGCTTTTATTCATATTTTTTAAATAATTCAGAGAAACATTTAACAAAATGATATAAAATATTAGATCAATTTTTCAACAGTGAACAGTTCGGAAACATGTAGAAAGCAAGAAGAGTCTGTTTTATTATATTAAATATGAAATCCGACTGCGTGCTTACAAATTGGTTAGAATTAGATTTCAACATTTCAGGATTGATTACAATAGTTACAATATTTTAAAATACAATATTTTATGATCAAAAAAAAAATTTTGCGAATGCTTAATCAGTAAATTGTTTTTTTTTAATTTAATAATTTCTTATTAAAGTAATTTTTAGTACATGTAAATGTTTGAATTTGTACAATTGATGAAAAAATAAGAAAAAATAATTAAAACCAAATAATATACTTACATACATATACTTATACTCGTATTATACATATCACATATTACTAAAAACAGTTATTACAACCAGTACAAAATATCTCACTTCTATGATTTCTCGGATAAATTTAATCTTTATACGGATCACGAATCAATATTAATTTCACATCTATATTTGAAGCTTTATAGCCAATCAAATTTTCAATTACGAGAATGCAATTCCATTTCGCAATTATTTGGAAAAACAATGCAATAAATAATGTATGTATTGGGGTCGTTAAATCTAACGAAAACATCGCAATATGGTAAAATTTATGCTAAATTAATTATACAATTCTTTATTGTGTTTATAGGACGATAAGAATATTACCGTAATCAACACAAATGTTTTAATGATGATGATTCAGAAATCATAATAAGAGTAAAATGCTAAAAAATGCGTCTACCGATAAACAACGTAATTTTGTTTCGTAACGCAGTTCTTTTTTTTCTATACATATATATATATATATATACATTTTTTTTTCATTGCTTTATAGGCTTTGTTAGGTAGGCTCATGCTTTTTTTGGAAATACGCTTTGCAGTGCAGGATCATCTTCCATGATCGTGTGCGGCTGGCGCACGTGCGTGATTGGCAGAAATTCATTTCGCACGATTTACATGCCGCGCGGAAATTGCGTGTCTGGTGCGCGTATGCCACGAGGCCCTTTGTTTAGATGGCAACGTTTGTCATCGGTTCTCTCGGCGTAGGTGAGTTGTTGTATGGCAGACAGTACGAGGGTAGCGGTGGGAGGATGACTCCAAGATAGGTGCCGGAATATTGGGCACAGATGCAAGCAGACTGTGTCAAGATTACTTACGATCTTGATAATACCCAAAAGTTACATCACGTATATTACAATGCTTTTGTCCCATTCTAATGAATTTCAATGTCACAACTGATTTCTTTTTTTTTTTTCTCGACCATAACTAATGTTGGGTAATATCTCTTGGTATGTATCTTGATACACATGTATAGAAATATATTTTGTGTATCTAACCTGTG